GTCGACATATGATTTCTTTTATCGTTAAATAAATGTTTCATGGAAGAAAATGCACTTTCGACGTATGAATTACTGCACGGAATCGAAGATATAAACGAAACTGATTTGTGCATGTTTGGAGATGGTGTTGGTTTGACAATAGGATGAGAAAGAGAATCCTCAATAGATAGACATTCTTTTTTTAAATGTTATATGTAAACAGGGGAAAAACAGCAAAAGCAGACAATTTTCAAAATGCGGACCATCTGGGAAGTCTGATAAACGTAGAAGTTAGTTAGAAGAAAAATAAAATGATGCTGCATGTGCGCTTTTGATCTCGTAACCAAAGCAAAAGAATGATCATATATATATATATATTCACATGATCTGCATGTACCTATGGAGAAGGGCGTTAATTCTCCTGGTAGACGGACGAAAATTATATCTCAATGGAAGGCCATCCAAGAGACCATGATTTGGCGAGACGCATTAGAAGACAGTTGGTCTTCTAATCTGGGGAGGGAGAGGGATTAGTTCAAAATCATGTATCTATATATCTAAAAAACCATTTGTTACTAATGTACGATTGGCCCTCATGACGTTTCATTATACATTTGGTAAGTATTCTCTAACCAAAACTAGGTATCGATGGCATGAATGCTCTCAAATAGATCGAAACATGAGGTAAAAATATATTTGTATAATTAAAAATTAACAGTAAACAAATTCGTACAGTTCTATCGGTATCATTCACAAAAAATAATTTAGATAAAAAATTTAACAATAAAAGGAAAGATTTGAAAAATAAACAATTTATGTAATCAGAGACAAGGCGGAAAATTCTAGTGTAGATGTATATTAACTATAACTAACGAAGAAGTGTAGTCATGTATTTTGAAACATGGTTGTGTTTGTTGGTAAAATGTTTTGATCTCGGTATGATATTTTTCGAGTTATTGCTAAAACAACAACAATAATCATTACTATAATAATGATTAAACCAATTACAACAGTACAAATAGATATAAAACATTTTCGTTTTCGTTTTGTTCGAGTCGTTGGTAATATTTTTGCACCAAAATCCTATTGTAAAGAGTAACAAAAACAGTTTTAAAATAAATAACGAATGAATAAAGTATAAGATTGAGGTTAATTGAAGCTATTATTAATGCGTACTCTGAACTGAAATAGACAAATATATTCATTACTCGTATTTTGAAATGACCTACTTTGTGCTTATTCACATTTTTCTCTAAATTATCAGCTCTCGATAATAAATCACTTAATATCTCATCTTCTGTATGACCGTTGTTAGTATTATTGGTAGACCAGTCTACAATATCATCAGTATCTGTTGGAATTTTTGACAATATTGAATCTATCTAAATATACACATATAATTCCAAATTAATGATATTGTTTAACTAGAATTCATAATTATGTACTTGCGTGTGACTTACTGCTGCTGATGTTTGATTGTTATTTTTTTCTAAAGTAAATTTATCCTCAACTACATTTTCTTTGACATTATCAACTTTTTTTGGTATATTATCTGATTTAACATTTTTAGAATTTTTTCTTTTCCATTGATTAGTCTGATCCTATAAAAGAAAAACTACTAACCATGTCAAAATGGAATCCTACCGGCTATTTCGAGAACGAAAAGTGATAGAAAAATGCGTTTTTCACCGCTCTGTAGAAAATTCATTCTATCTTTTAATGTATGGAGGCAGTAGCAATTTTGCTGGCATCAACCTGTCTCTCTCCGATAACTTTAAAAATAACTCCAAACATAGGTTCTCGATCACATCGTGCCTCGTGGCAATGTTTGCTTCTAGAAGTCAATCGAAGAATCTAGTGAAAGTCTATAGAAGGTGAAACAACCCACTTGTGGCTGTTTTTAGAGAAAATAAAAAAATTCGTAACCCCGCCAAAATCGATACAAATGACTCACCATGAGCTCCCTTTTGTCTGCTGAGCCCGGTCCTGCAATTAAGATTAGAAAGAAACGTTCTCTTACTTTCAAAGATTTCCAGAAAATCTTTTCAAAAATCAACATACCCAGGTCCGACAAAACGATATATTTACGGTAGTCCGTATGGGTTACCGTATACGAACGTCCGTTGGAGGCATATTTTACGTGACATATGAGCCGTTTGACGGGTGTGTGTTCGAAGATAATACGAACCGTAATACTGCGTACGCTCTTACGGTGGAACATGGACCGTTAACGGTCAGTATTCCACCGTTTACGGCCGTTTTTAGGCCATATTAGGGACCGCAAGCGGAACCGTTTTGACCGTCCTGGATACTTTCTAAAAACAGCCCCAAATGGGTTGTTTTATCTTCTATAGACTTTCACTAGGTTCTTCGATTGACTTCTAGAAACAAACATTGCCACGAGGCTCGGTGTGGTCGAGAATCTATGTTTGGAGTTATTTTTAAAGTTATCAGATCTAACCGGACTAAGATAGGTTAGTTACAGCAAAATTGCTACTGTGCCAAACCACAGCCGCCAGCGACCTCAGACTTACATAGTTTTGTAAAGAACGCTTCAGACTAGCTACCCATATAACTTAAGTTTAAAATATATTTTGGCTTCTATATCTGACAATCTCTTCTTTTTTCATCCAACTGGTACACCACCAGAAAATTGAACGTTGAAAACTCCTCATACATCGAAAGATGCAGTAAACATCTCTCTATAAAACGATGAATGATCTTTCCATTGCTTTTCGATCTCGAAACACTCCATGGTATTTCATTTTAAAATGAATAGTAGGAACATCGATTGTTCAAAATAGCATAGTTTTACATGTTTCTACTCACAATGGATTTAACAGACTTTTCTCGAGTAAAATTCTTTTTTTTCTGTATACTCGTATCACCATTCTCATTGCTATTCTTAAGTGAATATTCTTCTTCCTCTTCATTATCTTCATCATCATCTTTTTGTTTTCTTGTTATTTGAAATACTCGATACGAACCATCACGACGCAAAGATTTTCTTTTTGTCTTATCCTACAACAGAAAAGACTGGACTTTCTTTTCACTGTTTTCTCATTAGAGTTAGGAGATAATCAATCAGGAATGACACGTTGAGATAAAATAAGCACTCCTAAGGTTATGCAACGGAATACGCTATTAAAGGTTGATTTTTCAATATTTATTTAGTTTAGAAATTTTAGAGAGCAGTAAAAAGCCATTCTCAGATTTTCTACATCTTGTTAGGATCCTGGAGAGATCCTAAGACGGAAGAAGACAGCCCGGTAGTGTAATGGCAGTACGTCCGACCGGTAATCGGAAGGTCTGGGGTTCAATTCCTCAGTCGGGCAGTG